TGCCATCCAAAGGGAAATTTTGATCTACACCATTTTTCATTTTATTCTTCATAATCACTAAAATGAGCTCTGCTAACTTAAAAACTGGAAAAGGTCGAATTAGGCATCTTGGGTTTATGGGCATGGCCCCCAAAGTTTCTAGATCTGCGACTTTTTTCCCGGTTTCTTTTTCCTCTGGGTTACAGATTTTGCTAGCACCCTCCGGTCGCAAAAACTTGATCAAATTCAGAAAAAATCCAGCAAACCCCGTACCTCACTCGGTACTGAAGCTAAAAACTTTATCAAACTTTACCTAAACCCCTACCCAGTGCTGCTGGACCTGCAGGAAAACCACTGGGTGCAGTTCTATTAGAGGTATCTTACCCAGTTTTTTGTCCATTCCCTCTCCCCCACTACTCCATTTCGTTTTTGTTGAAAATTCGAAAAGCACGCGGATCGTTTTCACTCTCGGTCGCTCGCTCCGTTTCTCTTTTTCCGCGCGTCGGGTGGCGACCCCCATTCTCTAGTTTCGACAAGTCAACCTAATACCTTCTCTCTGTCTTCTCATTTCTATTCAGTTCCGCTCGAAGGGGGCGTGTCAGTTACCTCTTCTCTCTCTCTTCTCTCTCTTTCTGTGTCCTCTTCAAACAGTTCTCTCTCTCTTTATATGAGAAGATTTCCCGCAGGTTGGGGTCCATCCCCCCAATTCGGTTGTATTTGTTTCCCCCTCCCCTTGTGTGTATTATATTTTCAATTTACCTTTGAGAGGAAGAAAGGAAGAGAGAGAGAGAGAGAGAGAGAGAGAGAGAGAGAAAGAGAGAGAAGCTTTTTCTGAAATTTTAGTTGTTTTTTTTTAATTTCCCACCTTTTTTTCTGAATTTTTAGCTTTGATTCAGTTGGTCAAAAATTAAATTTTCACTATTTTCTTTTTGCTTGGAAAAAATTTGAATTCCCGCCATTTTCAACATGTTTTCGAAAACCAAATTCGGTGGTTTTCTGAATAAGAACAGAATTTCTAATTTCTAAATTAAGAGGTTTTTTTAAAGATTTTTCCTAAATTTGAATAGCTAAAAAAAACTTGAACTTTTCTAGACAAATTTTAGCCGAAAAATACATTTTTCACTGGATTTTTTGGGTTTTTTTTTTACTAAAATCTTGATTTTTAGTTTATTCTTCAGCGGTTTTTTTCCATGGTTTCCTGTATTTTTCCCTCAGAATTTAAAAATCTAGTTGAGTCCCGCTCTTGTTTTATCTATTTCTCTCTAGAAACTGCTCCCAACTGTAAAAAAAAGCTTGGCCCCCAACACGAAAAAACCCTCCTTTTCGAAAAAAAACTGGAGATTTTTTCAATTTTGTATTGGTAGATCAAAAAATTCCCTATCGATTGGTATACTTATCATAAAGGATTGTGCTAGAAAATGTGACTCAAAACCCTTGAAAACCTTATTTTCAGTACCAAAGTTCCTGGTCTTTTCCAGTATGTTCAAAGCATCATATCTCTGTTGTCTTTAGAGTTATCAAAAAGTTTTTAACTGACAAAATATTCAAAATTTAATGGTAAATACATTGCTAGTTGACCACTTTTTGACAGCTCTAAAGACAACTGAGATATGCTGCTCTGAACGTACAATTGGCATTGGCTCACCTAGCTTGGGGCTCTAAGCCGTCATATCTCAGCTACCAGGGGAGGTATCAAAAAGTGTTCAACTAACAAAATGTTTAAAATTTGAAGGTAAATATTTTTTTAGTTGACCCTTTTTTGATAGCTCTAAAGACAACTGAGATATACTGCTCTGAACATGCAGTGCAAAGCTTGAGCTGTTATTACCGGTAGTAGAGGTCTCAGTAACCCAAAATGAGTTCAATTTTCTCAAAATTCTGTTCTTTTCACCGGTAATATTGGATAGTCACATCGCTGAATTCCCAGTTTTTTTTTCAAAAAAAAAAATTTTTTTTGAACCCCGCTCCCCTTCCCCCCGGTAATCCCTAGCCTAGCCCCCATGTCCAATCGTATAAACACATGGAAAAATGCTGTAGTATGCCCAGTCTATTCGAACTATTTCTTCCGCGCCACCCTCCACATCCCCATTCATTTGTTTATTTGTTCATGATGATGATGGCGCCTTGTCCAATCCTCCTCCTCCTTCAAAACGAAAAAATTCAGGGTTTCTGCTATTTTTCTCCCTCCAAATATTTTTTTATTACTTCTACTGTTGTCTGTGCCTCGGACAATACACACTAGCGTCATTTTTGTTAAGGGGGGGGAGGAAAATTTATCATCCTATTAAAATTGTTGTGAAAATTGTTTGTTTAGTACATAGAGAGTGATAAGGAACAAGAGAGACATAGGTGTTAGAAAGTGCACATTTTCAATCTGAAAATTAGAGAATTTTAAGCCTAGAATCCTTGAAAATGGCCTAAGCTTAGAGGAATTTTTTAAGTGTTTCAAATTTAGCTTGGCCTAAAAAATCTGAAAAAATCACCTGAATTAGTCTAGGTGGCCTAAAATTTTTGGATTTCAATTTTTTCAAAATTTTATCGTGATTTTTTTATTTTGGCCCCCTTTTTGGCCCCCTTTTCCTTATAGCCACAAATTTTTGATTTTTTTGGTTTTCTCAAAAATTTGAGGGTGGCCTAGGTTTCTAATTTTTCTTTCTCATAATTTTAGGCCTAGAAATCTAGAGACGCAGAGCAGCCAGAGCGTCTAGCTTCTCTCTCCCTCTCTCTCTCTCTCTCTCTCTCTCTTCTAGTGGAGAGACGCAGAGAAGCTAGATAGTCTAGCTTCTCTGCGCTCTCTCCTTCTCTCTCTCTCCCTCTCTCTCTTTCTTTCCTCTTGAATGGAGACGCAGAGAAGCTAGACTGTCTAGCTTCTCTGCACTCTTCCCCCTCGTTCTCCTCCAGTTTTTCGCTATTTTCCCTGGTTTTTTGCCTACTTTAACCTTTTTTCCCCAATTTTTCCGAAATTTCAGACCCCTCATCCTCCATTTTTTTCCCTCTTCTCCCCAATTTCCCTCCAAGCCAAATCCACCCCGAATGGAGGCATGAATAGAGGAGAGGACCTATGTCTGTCCGATGGCTTCTCTCACTTCTACTTGCCACGTGGACCCTTCTCACCATCGCCCGTCTCGTTTTTGATCTGATCGGAAATTTGTGGGTCGTTGTGGTTTTCGATTTTGTGCAGGTGAGCATTTTTTTGTTAGAAAGGAGATTTGGCGGGAATTCAAATAATTCTTTTTTGCTTCGGGGGTAAGTTAGGGACTATATGAATGAAACTTCAAAAAAACCTTTTTGAATTTTATTTTGGTAACCAGATTTGGCGGGAATTCAAATTTTGTTTGGTTTTCTGAACCCTAGAAAACTCAAAAAAACGTCTAGAAAATCCTAGATAATCAGTGATCAAGTGGGGTGTAAAGAGCAGAGGAGTGTCAAGTTGGCTGAGCTCATTGAGCTCACTGATAATTTGTCTAGAGCCGGAAACCGGAACAGATCCCAAGACAGAAAGTAGATAAGCTTCAAAAATCATAAATCTAAAGGTAAATTTGGACAATTTTGAGCCTAAAAAACGCTAGAAGGGGGTTAGGGACCGAAGAAAAGAGATATGAACCCATTAGGCCTGGCCTAGGACTTTGCAGCCTTGTATCTCAGTTAGCGGTAGAGGTACCAAAAAGTTGTCAACTACAAACTTGTGTAAAATTCAAAAATAAACAAAATTGTAGTTGACAGTTTTTTGATATCTTTAAACTGAGCTGAGTTATACACGGTTCAAGCCTTCAGAGGCACCTAGACAACGGTCTTCCCTAGCTTACCTGCGTCTGTATCTTCAAAACGGTATATCTCAGTTGCCAAAAGAGCTATCAAAAAATTGTCAACTACAAACTTGCGTAAAATTGAAAAATGAACAAGTTTGCTGTTGAAAACATTTTCATACCTTCAACCTGAGCCGGGTTATACACGGTTGAAGCCTACCTAGGCCCAAGACAACGGTCTCCTCTTTGGGGGCCTGTGTGTACCGATTTGTTCTAGTATATCTCAGTTGGTTGTGGAGATATCAAGAAGTTGTCAACTACAAGCTTGTGTAAAAATGAAAATTAAACAAGTTTGTAGTTGACAGTTTTTTGATATCTCTACCCTCAATAGAGATATAAAGCTATATTTAAGAGGAACTGCCCGAATGTGGCCCTTTTTCGCACGCCATAAGCTTGAGTACTGTATATCTCAGCTACCGATAGAGCTATCAAAAAGTTGTCAACTAATGAAACATAGAATTTTTTATGACCAACAAAATTCTAGGTGACCACTTTTTGATATCTCTATTGACTACTGAGATACCCCTGATTCAAGGCACCTATAACTTGGCTGGCACTTGTTTTCAGCAACTTTCCTCCATTCCAGCCTGTTCTCCGCCTGGTTTCTGATCCATTCTCTCATCCCCCTTGTTTCCAATTCTCCCATTCAAACAAAAACCCAATCCGCTAGTCTGTCTTGTTTCGCTCAAAATGCGCCAATCAAGTTGGGAAAGCTTTGCCGCGCGGCATGATCCTCTCCTCCCTCCGAACTTTTTTCCGATCTGACAGGTCGAAAGAGACACGGGCACTTGAAACAAAAAATGCATCTCACATCTTGTACCGCCCGTTTTATCAGAGAGAGTGGACTATTTGCTCTCACATTTGGGGGACGGGAAGGGACAAACAAGATGGGTTGGGGATGTTTATATTCATCCAAAATGAGCATAGACAAACAGGTTGAGGGGAAGATGGAGGGACAAGGTAATACTTAATGCCATTCGGATGATTCGGTCACTAGACATGAGCTGTTAGCCTACGGAGGACAAAGAATAACTGGATTAACCGGTACCCCCGGGGGATAGGGGTAATATGACACCCAGCACTATTGGGAACTTCTTTGATGACGTTTTATGCTGGGGGCGAAGAAAAAAAAGAAAAAAATGAATTGCCACCGTTGGGGGTCGAACCCCACCCCTTCATTTTCGAAAACAACTGCTCTAACCACTAGGCCACGGGTGGCAACACCAGAGATGGGAGGGGAGGGCATACAGGAGAGGGCGCTTTTTCCATTTTTTCCAGAGGCATACTCACTGTCAGATGAGGATGGATGGCACTTTCAGTAGTGTTAAAGGCGCATCCCCAAGTTCTTACTGTAATGATCCCTGAGGCTTAGAATTCTACACAGGCAACATTCTTCCACTTTTAATCCACCCTCCGTCATCGTCAAAAATTATCGGATTATTTTCATCTCCTTCCCTCATTCCAAGCAGCTTTCTCCCCTTTTTCGCATAAATCTCTCTCTCTCTCTCTCTCTCTCTCTCTCTCTCTCTCTCTCTCTCTCTCTCTCTCTTTTCTCCCACAAAACCGTTGAAATCCCCCTTCTTGAAAACCGTTATCTCGATTGAATGCGGGCAGCGGCGGCGCATAAGCGTGAACCGCCCGATAACCCACTACTACTATACAATTCAACGCCTATATTCTTATTGAAAAGGATAAAAGGGAATGATGGTGATGGGCATATTATGTATATCACTTTGGATAGTTTCCTCCTTCTCGAGAATAAGAGGGAATGACCATGAAACTTTGAAGGGAGGGGGCTAAGCTCCTGCTGTGATGGGGTACTTGGAGGGAAAGAAGAATTAATTCCCATTTGATTACCCCCCGACGTACTTTGCAAGAAATTTTGTTGCGAAATTGGGGAGAAAAATGGGGGAGATTGGACTCGAGATGAAGAAAAACAGGACAAAACAAGTTAGGGACTGAAAAAAATTGGACCCCAACGAAAAGTTTGGAGCACTATATCTCAGCTGCCAGTAGAGTTATCAAAAAGTTGTCAACTAGTCGAATGTATAGCTTTTTATGGCAAACAAAATTGTAGTTGACCACTTCTTGCTATTTCTTCTAGCAATTGAGATATGACAGTTTATCCTTCTTGAAAACCTATCGGCCGCCAGAAGGATGTTGAACAGCTGTCAAGTATATATCTCAGCTGCGGTAAGAGCTATCAAAAAGTTATCAACTAATAATATGTGCAAAATTTGATGACAAACAATATTGTAATTTACAGCTTTTTGATATCTCTATTGCCGATTGAGATATAGCAGTTTATTCTAGCGACCTTCGTCAGACACAAGGAAGATACCGGAAATCGTGTGTTCAAAGGGGTATATCTCAGCTGCTAGTAGAGCTATCAAAATCTTGTCAACTAATAAAATGTAGAGAATTTAATGATGATTAAGTCTGTAGTTAATCACTTTTTGATAACTCTTTTGATTGTGGTGATATAGCTGTTTATCCTAGGCACCCCTTCAGAAAGCAGGATGGATCCAGTGATGTTGGGTCCTAAGCAGTATATCTCAGCTGCGGTTAGAGCTATCAAAAAGTTGTCAACTAAAAAAATTTAGGAAATTTTATGACAAATAAAATTGTAGTTGACCACTTTTTGATATCTCTTTTAAGAACTGAGGTATAAGGCAATTTATCCTAGCCACCATCCCACTCGCCTTCATCGGACGGCTAGATGACGTGGAATAGCGGTGTTGGCTTCTTCAAACCAATATTTCTGAGCACACAATGGAGAAATTTTTAAATGATAATTATTAAACAAAAAAAGACAAATTCTGGGCCAGAAGTAACTTATAGGTGAGTTTGGAGCCCTCCTGACTACCCAGGTTATCCTAGCTGGTAGGAACGAAGACTTATGATTTTAGGGCGTTGTATCTCAGTTGCCAGTGGAAGTTATCAAAAAGTTGTCAATTAATAAATTGTGGCAAAACTTATGACAAACAAAATTGTAGTTGATCACTTTTTCATATCTCCTTTGGCAATTGAGATATACCCGTTCTAGCATAGCCATTATCTCAATTTCTGTGCTCCTTGAAGCAGTCTCAGATGACTCCTGGCTCCTGGCTCCAGGCTCCCCCAAGAGACTCGATTGAAAGTTTCTGCAACTTCTGAACTTAGTAGATCAAAAATTTCTCCACCAACCTGCAAAAAAAAAACCCCGATTACCCTTTTTTGGCGCCACCGTTCTGTCCCATTTCATTCGCCCCCATCTGTAATTACACTCCCCGTTACATACAGCCTATTTGACATCATGATTATTATCCGAATAAGTATATACATATATAGGTATGCAGTAGTAAAATGTAAAACGAGACACACACGCCTGCTTACTTCTATACTCTATAATTGCCTCCTCCCGAAACATGGTATGGGGGTGACCTCGAGGGGGGAAGGGAGGGGGTTGAGACCGTCTAATTATGAGGAAGAATGGGGGAGAAAAGTTTATACAAACATGGAATTGAAGGGGTTTGAAACAGGGGGAAAAAGGATCAAAAACCGGAAGATTGGGTGAAAATTTTGAAAAAAAGGGGTCAATGAAAAAACAGTAAAAAAATATTGAACTGTGGAGTTTGCGGTATATCTCAGTTCCTAAAAGAGATATCGAAAAGTGATCAACTACAATTTTGTTTGTCATAAAATTTGTCACATTTCACTAGTTGCCAACTTTTCGATAACTCCACTGGCAGCTGAGATAT